TCGACTGTGATTTGTTTGGTATTTGGGCCTTCACATCTTCCATATTTGTTAATGAATTTTTGAGTATAGCCGTTGTTTTTCAGCACCTTTTCGAGATTCGTGAATTCTTCCTCTAGTTTCTCTGCAGAGCATATTCTCCTCGCTCTATAGTACAGAGTCTTGACAAGTGCTCGTTTATAGCTATTTGGACAAAAACTATTAAAATGTAAGTATTGTCCATTCCATGTGGGCTTTCGGTAGATTGACCTCTGGAGGCTACCATCTTCTAGGCGTTTTATGGCGACGTCAAGGAAATGGAACTGTCCATCATTTTCATGTTCCATAGTAAATACAATATTTGTATGTGCGTTGTTGAATAGTCTGAGTAGGTAGGAGGCATGACTTTCATTGTTGCATACTACAAATGTGTCATCGACATATCGACAATAGGACGTTGTTTGATCAATTGCATGCTTCAGCTTTGTTTTCTCAAGGTTTGACATAAAGATATCTGCTAAAACAGGGCTAAGTGGACTGCCCATAGCTACACCATCTATTTGTCGGTAAAGAGTGTTGTCAAACTGGAATTGTACATCCATGGTACACATCAGCAGTAGGCGTTTGAATTCCGGCTCTGGTAATGGGAGAAGATCAGACTGTTGACAAATGATTTCAATGGTTTCATTGATTGGGATCATTGTGAACAAGGAGGTTGCATCAAATGAAGCCATGAACTTATTTGAAACGTTCATGTGATTCACGCTTTCAGCAAAATGAAATGAGTCCTTTATGGTGTGCGCGGCCAGCCTTTGGCGAATGGGTTCCAACTTCTCCGCGAGCCAACGGGCAACCTTATGTTGGGGAGAGTTGATCATCGAAAGTATAGGTCTCAGAGGGACTTCTTTCTTGTGTGTCTTTGGAAGGCCATACATATATGGCAAGCGGGACCCTCGGGGTTTCAATTCATTGTACGTGTTGTTGTCAATCAATTTCTTCTTTAGAAGATCTCTCAATACGTTTGTGATGCGTTTTTCGGTTGCATCTGTCTTGTCTTTCTGGCAGTCGTCGACTTTGAACCTCAACGGATCACTGAGCACAGTTTTCATCCTTGCGACGTAGTCATCTTTATCCATCACTACCACTCCTGAGCCTTTGTCAGGTCGCAGTATGACAATTTTGTCATTATTTCTAAGAGCTTTCAATGCTTTTTGATGTTCTTCAGAGAGGACTTTTGAATATGACGTTGGTGAGATGAGGTATTGATTTGCAACGTCGACCAGCTTAGATTTGAACCAGCTCTTCTTGTCTTCATCAACTGGAGTAAGATCATTCAGCTGATAGAATAGGTTTTCGAATTGAGCTGTGACGTCGGTTCTATTGACAAAGCTATTCGGGATATGGAAGTTAAATCCGAGGGAAAGCACTTCCATTTCTATGCGGCTTAAATTCACACTCGACAGATTATATACAAAATCCTCAGGATTTTCTGGGAAGACTTCATATATTTTTTCCTTTGTCAGGGATTTCGTCAGGGTTTTATAAAAATTTTCACAGGTTTTCTGTTGAAGCTCTTGAATGAAATTGATGAATTTGATCCGGCAAACTATGTTCAAACTATTGACGACACCGTCAAAGGATCTGGCTTCATTTCTCAATTTTGCAATCAGAGATTCTGTTGATTCAATATGCGATTTCGTAATGCGTCGGAGGTTTTTGAGAGAGGGTGGCAATTTGCAACTACGGAGTGACTTCATGAGATGCCGAGGAAAGCAGTGGGACTGCAAGCATTCATTGTAAAACTTTATTCGTGTAACTTCTCTGGATATTCTGCAACGAATTGTCACCAAGCGATCCAGTTGTTGTTACATTGTTACCTAACTTATTAGTCACTATGCATCCAACGCACATCCCTTACCATTATAACATACATTTATTTATTATTTTTTAACTTGAACTGCCTGTGTAAAAACTATATAAGCGCAATTTTCTGAGCACTGTTTACTAGTTGTGAAACTTTCTGTCAACATGTAAAATTTGCAAGTACGTTAAAACGTTTCTGTACTTAAACCTGAAAATTTATTTAGGCTGTAAGCAGCTGACGAGAAGCCAACGAAATAAATGATGGTACCATGTTATTCTGCACAAATCATTGTTGTTCTCGCTTTATTTAAATCATTATTATTATTATTATTATTATTATTAGTGGTTTTCCAATGCATGATCTCCATATGTCACACCAAGCAACATATTTAGTTATTCAAGTCAAATCTGTTACTATCAGCCAACCATGCATCACAGCTCCCATATATATAAGCTTCGTGCTTCTAAAATATTATAACGTATCAAGAAGGCTTAGAAAAGCTTACGTTCAATTTACAATGGACATTCCTTTATGCAGGTTGCTTAATATATATGGACAGACAACTAAATGTAAAATTTCGTACGGAACCTACGAAACCTTGAAAGAAGTAAGAGAAGAATGGCAGAGTGATAATTAAGTGATCGAAAATGGGTAGTAGATATTGTAATAAAAAAACAGTAGTTAACAATGTAATCTCGCGAGACATACTGATTCACTGATTGGCCCTGAAGTCCAAGATACTTTTTTCTGGAAATTAATACAAAAACACTAAACAAGGGATATTGACCAACTATTTCCACGTGTGAGATGTTTTTACATGCAAAGAGAGAATGATTACAGTCTTAGTAAATTACGGCTTTGTAAGTCAGTCCTTAAGAGTATGCACTGTCTCTCACTATTTATGTTTTTGTCTCTTTATTAACTGGTTAATATACATCTGTCAATCAGAGAGGACACTGAATAAAAGGGTCGTAATGTGAATTGGAATATCAACTTTTTCATTTTCACAGTGTGAAATGAGTGGTTTCATTTCAGCTTATGGGTGTTTTACAAAGTTCATCTTTCTTCTATGCGATAGTAGTAAGATATCTGACAATGATCACTTTCTTAGTGTGGAAAACACGATAGTGCATGCCCATTGAGTGGAAGACAATTGTTGTAACTCATGTATCAAGTGGATAATTCTATAGTACTTGAAAAAATGGAGGTGTATTCAATCCTTGTCATGTCTCACGTCCTGAAGAACTCAAGTAATCTCCTGTTTCTACCTATTCTAGTATCATTAAGTCTCTGTGCTCTTGTTTTCTCCATTTCTCGAAGTATGTACGGGTCCACACTGGGTGCGCAGCTTCAATATTTTCGACAGTACGGTTAACTGCTGTACATAGGGTTTGTATATGTATGCTTTAAGGAGAAACAGCTGGAATCTCGATCTAAATCTTAGAAAATGTAGTCTAATATCTATGATACGAAAACGAGTAGACGAAACGATTTGTAAGGAAAATGTTTTTTTAATAAAGGATCAGTTATTTCCTACAAATCAGTGTCACATGAATGTTTCGTTAACTTGAAACACAGATGTATGCGCCTGCACTCAGGTGAACTTTAATCTTTCCTTTGACGCCTCAATCCCACCTCCATTTTTTCAAGTACTATAGAATTATCCACTTGATACATGAGTTACAACAATTGTCTTCCACTCAATGGGCATGCACTAAGTTGTACGGCCTAACTGTCAGCTGTTGTACGTTAGAGTGTTGAAGCAAATGAAACTTGTCTGATAACAGAGTCCATATGTTTGCACAAGGTTTTGCCGTTTTTCGGTTCGTTTGTTTTTGATTGTCCCAACATTTATTGGACAAAGAAGAATGGGAGAAACACCTGAGAAGTCGGAAAAGGAAGTAAAGGGGCTTTCACTATGCTCAAGACGGAGACAAGAAATTATTCACCTAAAGATATTAGTGCCATCTATAGCGGTTGGTGCAATTATTGGAAAAGGAGGAGAATCGATTGCGAAGATTCAAAAAGAAACAGGTGCAAGGATAAAGCTGTCCAAAGTAAATGATCTGTATCCTGGCACAGAAGAAAGAGTTTGTCTTATTCAAGGTACTTTAGAAGGTGTAACTCGGATGCACAATTACATAATGGATTGCGTGTTAGAAAAACCAGAGTGTTCTGATACTCCTGGGACGGTTGTATCATGTGTTACGACTAACACAGCGCCAGCTTCGCATTCTGAAAGTATTGCCCCAAGTTCCACTGCTCCGGATGACTCTGGCCATGGTGTAACACATTTGCATAGAGGGTCTACGTGGACTCATGGTTTGGAATCCTCAGGAAATCGTTTACCATGGGGAAGACATAAGCAGGTTAAGATTTTGGTACCTAACTGCACTGCTGGTCTTGTAATCGGAAAACTGGGTAGTTATGTTCGAGAGATAAAAGACAGAACTGGAGCTTTTATACAAATATCACAGAAGTCTGTTGAGATAAATTTATTGGAACGATGTATTACTATTGCGGGTGAACCTGATCAGTGTCGTGCAGCTGTCGATTTAGTTCTAGCGAAAATAGCAGAAGACCCTCAGTCGGCCATTTACCCTGTAATTTCCTACTCACATGTGCGTGGTCCTGTTGCAAGTGCTTACCCGACCGGATCACCTTTTGCAATCATGCCAGCAGTTCGTTTTCCGCCATGTCAGGCTTCGCATTTACAATTACCCCCTGGACGTGGTGTGTCAGGCGGTGGTATTGAGGCATGGGACGGAAATGCATCAGGTGGTGTTGGCTTCTCGCCTGTTTCAAATCCGTTTGGGTCATCTCTTTTTCAAGCAGCTTTACTCCAATTTCAAGCTGCTGCTATAGCGGCCAATTTAAGCCCAACTAACTACTATCCTACCTTGTCACCTGTCGATGCAACTGCAGCTGATATGTCCACCTTAACTGCCCATGGATTGTCTACTAACATCAGTTATATGCCATCTGAAGACCCCAGTATTCCACAACCAGCTTTACCGGATTATGGGCAAGGGTTATATTCGTCTACTCCCACTGCAAATGTTCCTCTGTTTGGTGGTAGTGGAGGCGCAAGTGGAAGTGGTGCCAATCCCAGTGGAGCAAGTGGGGGGCCTGGAGGGACTTTGATACATGAAGGTTGGCGTCATAACACGCCGGCGTCTGAATTTGAGATTCTGCAACAGGCCAACTACCTTCATGTATCAAAGTCCCTCCAGGCCCCCCACTTGCTCCACTGGGATTGGCACCACTTCCACTTGCGCCTCCACTACCACCAAACAGAGGAACATTTGCAGTGGGAGTAGACGAATATAACCCTTGCCCATAATCCGGTAAAGCTGGTTGTGGAATACTGGGGTCTTCAGATGGCATATAACTGATGTTAGTAGACAATCCATGAGCAGTTAAGGTGGACATATCAGCTGCAGTTGCATCGACAGGTGACAAGGTAGGATAGTAGTTAGTTGGGCTTAAATTGGCCGCTATAGCAGCAGCTTGAAATTGGAGTAAAGCTGCTTGAAAAAGAGATGACCCAAACGGATTTGAAACAGGCGAGAAGCCAACACCACCTGATGCATTTCCGTCCCATGCCTCAATACCACCGCCTGACACACCACGTCCAGGGGGTAATTGTAAATGCGAAGCCTGACATGGCGGAAAACGAACTGCTGGCATGATTGCAAAAGGTGATCCGGTCGGGTAAGCACTTGCAACAGGACCACGCACATGTGAGTAGGAAATTACAGGGTAAATGGCCGACTGAGGGTCTTCTGCTATTTTCGCTAGAACTAAATCGACAGCTGCACGACACTGATCAGGTTCACCCGCAATAGTAATACATCGTTCCAATAAATTTATCTCAACAGACTTCTGTGATATTTGTATAAAAGCTCCAGTTCTGTCTTTTATCTCTCGAACATAACTACCCAGTTTTCCGATTACAAGACCAGCAGTGCAGTTAGGTACCAAAATCTTAACCTGCTTATGTCTTCCCCATGGTAAACGATTTCCTGAGGATTCCAAACCATGAGTCCACGTAGACCCTCTATGCAAATGTGTTACACCATGGCCAGAGTCATCCGGAGCAGTGGAACTTGGGGCAATACTTTCAGAATGCGAAGCTGGCGCTGTGTTAGTCGTAACACATGATACAACCGTCCCAGGAGTATCAGAACACTCTGGTTTTTCTAACACGCAATCCATTATGTAATTGTGCATCCGAGTTACACCTTCTAAAGTACCTTGAATAAGACAAACTCTTTCTTCTGTGCCAGGATACAGATCATTTACTTTGGACAGCTTTATCCTTGCACCTGTTTCTTTTTGAATCTTCGCAATCGATTCTCCTCCTTTTCCAATAATTGCACCAACCGCTATAGATGGCACTAATATCTTTAGGTGAATAATTTCTTGTCTCCGTCTTGAGCATAGTGAAAGCCCCTTTACTTCCTTTTCCGACTTCTCAGGTGTTTCTCCCATTCTTCTTTGTCCAATAAATGTTGGGACAATCAAAAACAAACGAACCGAAAAACGGCAAAACCTTGTGCAAACATATGGACTCTGTTATCAGACAAGTTTCATTTGCTTCAACACTCTAACGTACAACAGCTGACAGTTAGGCCGTACAACTTAGTGCATGCCCATTGAGTGGAAGACAATTGTTGTAACTCATGTATCAAGTGGATAATTCTATAGTACTTGAAAAAATGGAGGTGGGATTGAGGCGTCAAAGGAAAGATTAAAGTTCACCTGAGTGCAGGCGCATACATCTGTGTTTCAAGTTAACGAAACATTCATGTGACACTGATTTGTAGGAAATAACTGATCCTTTATTAAAAAAACATTTTCCTTACAAATCGTTTCGTCTACTCGTTTTCGTATCATAGATATTAGACTACATTTTCTAAGATTTAGATCGAGATTCCAGCTGTTTCTCCTTAAAGCATACATATACAAACCCTATGTACAGCAGTTAACCGTACTGTCGAAAATATTGAAGCTGCGCACCAGTGTGGACCCGTACATACTTCGAGAAATGGAGAAAACAAGAGCACAGAGACTTAATGATACTAGAATAGGTAGAAACAGGAGATTACTTGAGTTCTTCAGGACGTGAGACATGACAAGGAATGAATACACCTGGGACTCTGTGAGCGAATTTCGACCAATTCACAAAGACTTTCCAGTTGTTGGTTATTATCATCCTGAGGACTCTAGATAAGTAGGTCACTAGGAAAAATAACCATTCACCGGTGCTAGTGTTTGGTATGAACACCTATAAAACTTCGATCAAGCTTCACGACCTCACTGATTGACTTTTCCCTATCTAACTCTCAACGTTCCATCTCAGCATACGTCTAATGTAATAAGGTTAACAAGGGATAAATGGTTAATAACTTTTCTCTGATCTTCCTTTAAACTACATCTCGGTGTGTCTACTCGATGTTTCTAGCTGTCTGTTTTTGGGGTGATATTGAAGTCATACTTATAGACAATGGTTTTATTCAACATAACTATATTAGAACACGTCAACCAGAAGTCTGATATAGTTAGCAGGCATCCACGGAGAACGCCGATTCACACACATAACAGTTAAACTGAAGGTTTATTGGTTGTGGTCCTATGTGGCAAACTAGCTCCAGACCTACGTTTCAATGAATAACAATAAAAAATGAGCCATTTTGAGCACGACTGATTTGATTTCAGTCTTATAAGATCAATATGTATCTGAGTTAACCATCCGCTTCTGTACGCATCACAGTTTTAGTTAGTACTTATTATGCGATACAGTGGCTTCTACTCTGTTATGGTGTTTAGATTTGTTCGTGTGGGTGATAGTCACGTGATGACTGAAAGTAGTCTTCTTTGGGGCAGCACCATGCCGGAAAAGTTATTTTAATAATCTCGAAAATAAATGTTAAAATTCCATTAGTGTGGTCGGTGTAGAATAAAGCAATATAGTACTGCTGGTCATAATAGTGAATAGAGGGGGTAATGCAGGTAGAACGCCTTGTTATGATGAATTTCTTCCCTGGAAAAATGTGATTGAAATTATCAGCATAACAGTGTATCTCATTTATCACCTGTGGAGATATGGGAACTTGTCCAATGTTCAACAGTTGTTGGAATTTTTTGGTTTCCCAAGCTAAGTAAATATTTCTTTATTATGTAGAAATAAAGCATTAATTTTCACCATCATATCTATGTGATCTCAAATCTCACGTGTAAACTTTCAGCTTTATAATAATTCTCAACGAACTTAGTTCCTACTCCGTTTTCTGTTACTACTCTTTCATGCTACTTACAGTATAAGATTTTTGGAAAATTCACACAATTTTGGTTATTCAATTGATCTTATCAAATTATTATAAGAATGTTAGTGAAATTTGTGTTTAACTTTTTAGAGGTTTGTTGGATTTAGGCTAGAAAGTGGATGTGTGGTGGTGTGATGCAGACAATGTGTTCCAAAATAATATTAATCTCACATATTCCCGCAGTTCAATACTGCATTAGCAACAGAATACTACGTATATTTGAACATTCTATTTCATGCAGTTTAATGTAAACAAAAATCACACATTCATTGATTGGTTAGAGAACATAAAACATTATTGTTTTATCCGAAACTGAGCCCAACTGAACTCCTTAATTATCTGTGCTTATTCACCTACTGGCTGATTTTTAAATATACACTAATCGTTAATATGCATTAACGGTAAGGTGTGTTAATAAAAATTATAAATGCATGTCTTAGCTGCACTTTCAGAATTCCATGTTATCTTAACAACAGATTATTCGACACAGTTTTCCAAGTAGACTGAGTTAGCCTTACTTTATGAGTTCTTTTTAGTTTCATAAAAAACTAATGGAGCGTGTTCACTTACCGAATAAAAAGTTGTGAAATTATACTGCTTTCAAATGGTTTTTCAGCTGTTGAAAAGCACGAAGGGAAGAAACTTTACTAAAGTTAGCTAATAAAATCCATTTTAATACTAAATAGGACAGATGTTTTAGTTAACTGCAACAGAAAGTAAGGCATATGGTTGGTAAAAATTACGTGACCGTGTAAAGAATTATTTATTACCAAAATGATAAATGAGTAGAAGAAATTCCTTCTGATGATGAATACAACAACAGTTAGAAAAAGAGAAAAAAAATTGGGGTCAATGAAAGAAGACAACGAAAGATATTAAATTAATATCTGTTTGTTTAATATACAGAAAATAATTTGAAGGAAAGGTGAGAAAAAGTTTCTTTCTAACTTTTTCAGAACGAAAAGCTAATGTGAACATTACTCTTTGAATTTACGAATTTTGTTATATTAAATTATTTGATCAAAACTGAGTGTTACTATGACCTCTTGTCTGTTTAATAACCTTAAGACTTCGAAAGTGTTCATTAAGTGCTTTGTATTATTTGCTTAAGTCAATTTTGATGTTTTCATTGATTGATTTAACCGAAATTTTCGGCCTCAGCTGAATTACCAGCTCCTAGTACGGAAGCTTCGACGATTTACAAGGATTGACATAAAGCAATTTGGTGACTATCATTGGAATATAGAATATGCATTTTGTCCCATTTTATCACTGTACCTGCAATCCTCAGTGAGGGATGGTGTTCCCACTGAGATTAGAACTCGGTACCTTTCTTTTAAAACGCAAAAGTGCTATCCTTTAAGCCTCAGCGTAACATGCCGTTTCAGAAAATTCCTGTTAGATATCGCTCTGGGATCAGCACTGTGGACACGATTCACTAACATCTCTAAACGGCACAGATAGATTTAGAGTTCAAACAAAGACGAAAGGCTCACAGAAGTGAAGACACCAAGGATAGTGAAGCCAGCAAAAATAAAACATAAAGTCTAAAGGCAGTACGCTGCTAGGTATATAATATTAATTTGTAACAGTAGGCGCGCAATTATAGTCTCCCGTGAATCGTTGTCTCATTGTTTGTGAGAAGATTTGGAAAATGGCGGAGTGTCCAGACCGAAGCAAGGACCATCCCGAAGCCTATAATTTAAAGTCTTATTCATAAAGCAGTAGGGCAGCGTCAAGAGCTACGGTTCCATGGTTGCAGGTGACCAAAGTAAGCTCACACGCCGCTCGACCAGTTTGGATTCTGCAGCCCATGTTCACCATAGGTTTTGAATTAGAGTTTTCCATCTTTCCTTGGTAGACATCTTTATTCACCAGCCCGGTTGTAAGCGTCAAACGTTCTCATTCGCCCTTCCACTTTTGTGAGGGACAGTCCCGGTCGCATATCGAAAGTGGACAGAACATACTTGGTAGAGGCTATGAAACATGGCCACATAAGGGTACTTCAAAAATAAGACCGGTGTTTACCCATCCTCGGACCCACCAGGTCCTTGGCAGAACTAACATCAGTTGATTATGTTTCCATTAATCTGCTGATTCTGGTTTCGATATTACGTAACTACATGGATCCCAAGCTCGACTGTAAGAGATGTTCAGTACTCGTTTCTTCTCCATCTTGTGTTGCTTAAGACTGAACTTAGTATTCAAATTTGTGATTGTGAAGTCGACAACATGTTTAAATGCCTAAAACAGTTGGCTAAGGCATCAAGCCTAACTAACCACAACTTTCGAACATTAAGAAGCAGAACACCAATTAAAAATGAGAAAGAAACGTAAAGTGGCTGCAAGATGATAAAATAATATAATTTGCTTTTTAAAATACCCCTTACAAACAAAAATAAAGTGGTTTTCTTCAAATCTCAATGTTTGGCTCATGCAATTACCGTCCTAACACATTAAGCATGTCAAATTTCTTAACAACAAAGTTTAAGGACTCCTCACTAATAAATTCTAATCTAAGCTTTCTTGTCTACAATAGGACAAAGGCATTGAGCGTTAGATGCTATCTACTCCGTGTAGCTTCACGGTGATACGCCTTCACTACAAAAATTCTTTTCTGTGACCATTTGATTCTTTAATTAAAGATATAAAGAAAAGCATCTTTAATCATAATGGCAAATGATATCCGGTAAGAAATGGACAAATAAGGGAATCATCATGTGATAAAGACAGGATCATTTATTTAACATCATAGATTACCAACTATATAAATATTCAGAGCTAAGCTGAAAGTCAGAAACACTAAAGCGGAAAAGATTCAGGGAAGCTAAAAGGTTTTGTCAAACTTTATTACTTATATCTCCACTTTTTAAGACAAACATAAACCACACTTAAATACTGTGTAACCGTGGTGAGTGTGTTTTCTGTAATGCTTTAGGAGTAATCCACCCATCAGCAAGTCAACGTTTACTCAGCCTTTCCACTCTTGTAATTACATGGTCATATGAGAATTAATTCTATCATCGAATAGTCTCGTTGAACAAAAACACATTGGTAGAGTTTATTTTTTGATGACGTTTCAAGAACAATCTATTGTTTATAGCCATATCATGGCACTCGCATAACTTTCAAACTTTATTTATAAGATTCGCTTATTTCTTGTCC